AAGTCATTGCAAATGTTAATAGCTTTTAAGAGATAGTTTAGGGATTTTTATGTGTGTGTTCTCTAAGTAAATACAGTTAACTTTTTCATATGTATAAGTTGTATATATTAATTATGTGTGTATATATATATACATATATAAAACTTTTACATATTATGGTTTCTGTCTACATGCCCCCTCCAAGCCTCATACAGTCATGGGAACGGACTTTTTTCAGAAGTGGCTGAATGTAGAGTGTGCAGTGGATTTGTAGTGCAATGCTAGGATTAAGTGTGGGTGACTGCTGGATTAGTCCTCTGATTAGATTGGCACCCCCGCTAATCTCAGTAGACTGGATACAATATAAGAGGCAAAAAGAGGCTTGCCTCTCTCCTTCCTTGTTTTTGTTTTTTGTTTTTGGCTTTTTGAAACAGGGTCTCGCTTATGCAGTACAGGCTGGCCTTGAGCTCACTTTGTAGCCCAGGCTGGTCTCGAACTCACAATGATCCTCCTTTCTCCGCCTCCCGAGTGTTGGGATTACATGCATGTGCCACCATGCCCAGTTTCCCTTGTTGCTTTTATTGTCTCCTGTTGCATGAACGTTTCTCCTCTAGCATGCCCCTCTGCCAAGCCACCTCACCTTGGAGCCATGCAACTGTGCACTGAAACCTCTACAAACCGTAAGCTAAATAAACCTTTTCTCCTTTAACTTTGAGTGTTAGGTATTTGTCCCTGCAATGAGAAACTAAGACACACACACACGTTTTTGTTTTTCATTTCTAGCATTCCTAGCAATGAATGAAAGTAGTACAGTATTGAATAGCAGTGCTAAAAGTAATTGTCTTTGCCTTGTTCCCTTGTGGAAAGCACTTCATACTTAACAAACCATCAGCTAATGAGTTAATGATTATTTTGCTTTTGTTTTGTTTTTCATTGGAGTAGTCACTTTAAATGTAACGTGATTGCTGTGTTTAAATGTACCTGCTTCTTAATTTTCTTTCTTTGAATTTTCTCCCTTTGTGTCTTATTTTAGTGTCAGGCTTCTTGATTTTCCACTTTTTTTCCTATTGTGGTTTATACTGATTCATTGTTGTTTGGGGTGTGTGAATGCACATATGTGTGCTTGTGCATGCAGTAAGGGTCTTCCACTGAGTGACACCCTAGCCCTTTTTATTTTTTATTTTGAGACACAGTCTTCCTAAATTCCCCAGGCTGGATTAGAATTTTCTATTCTCATGCCTCAGCCTCCCAGAATGTTGGGATTACAGGTAGGGGGTACCTGCCTAACCTGCTATACATTCTTTAATTATTTTAATGCTTATTTTATCACAGCCTTTCTCAAATGCGGTTCTGTGAATTAAGTAAGCCACAGTGTTCTAAGGTACCTATTGTCTTTGTATGTTATGGGTTAGTATCTCTGATAATAAATTTACTATGTAATAAATTTAACTATATATCACCCTTGGAAGAATTATGAAAATAGTTATTCAAATAACTTTAATTTGTTTTGGGGGGTTTTTCTTTTGGAAGAGTAATTCAATTTTAAATTTTATTGTTTTTTTTTTCATTTATTTTGTGCTAGGGATTGAACCTAGTTCCTGTGCACAGTAAGCACAGTGCTCTACCACTGAGTTATATAAGTCTGCGTCATGTTTTAAAAATTTGTTTTGTAACCTGCTGTTTTATTTAATGAAGTATAGTGGAAACATTTTCACTTCCATCAGTTCATGTCAACATCATGATCTCTTAATGATATAACTAATATCACTTTCTTTGGATTCACCAAATCCTTTCCTTCACACTTTCTTCCTTTCATTCCGTTCCCTTTGTCTAATCATAGTTTCTCTTCTACTTACATGTTATCATTTTTAGATTACACTTAATAGGGGAAACATGCAATACTTATCTTTCCGAGTCTGGCTTATTTCACTTAAAATGATGATCTCCAGTCCCATCTGTTTTCCTGCTAATAACATAATTCTTTTCTCCTTCTCCTTCTTCTCTTTCTCCTCCTCCTCCTTCTTCTTCCTTCTCCTTCCTTCTCCTTCTTCTTCCTTCTTTCTTTTTTCTTCTTCTTCTACTGGAAATTGAACTCATGACCTCATACTTCCCAGGCAGGCACTTATGCTGCTGAGCTAAATCCCCAGTTGAATAAAATTCCTTGAGGTGGGGTACTGGGAATCAAACTCAGGACCTTGTGCTTGCCAGGCAGGTGCTGTGCCACTAAACTATATCTCTGGCTCTTAAAATTCCATCTTGTAGATAGTCCACATTTTCTTTGTCACCGTCTTCTGATGAGCATCTTGGATGGTTCCATCACTTGGCTGTCATGAATGTTGCTGCAATAAACATGTATGTGCACATGTGTCTATAGTACTCCAGTGTCATTTTTAAAAATGTCTTATTTTTCATCATTTTATTTCATGTGACCACAGGCTGAAAGAAAAAACATATGTATGTGTGTATGTATATGTATGTAAAAAATAGTTAAGATAGTTGTACTGCTGATTTCACTGAGTTTGCTGAAGTGAAAGGTTTGTGCTGGTATTGTTCAGACAATTGAATGCAGATGTCTTGTGCTCTGGGTAAATGATTTGGGGATGACAATGTGCAATGATGTACTATTGTTGCTCCCTGACTGCTGTGCTTTAAATTTTTGTTGTAGTTTTTTTTTCTTCTTTTTTTTCTTTTTATCTATGAATAAAATGGACTTGGAATAAAAGGAAAAAGAGAGAAAAAAATTAATTTTTATTTTATTATGTAGAATTGTGATTCATAAAGTCTGCCTTAGAAAGTACAATACATATACTGAGTTTATTACAGTTTAATTTACCACTTTTAGGACAATGTAAAAGACTTTAAAGACTTTAAAACTAGCAGTGGACTTTGGTTCTGTTTATTTCCATCCTCTTTTATTGTTTTTGCCATACATTTCACTTTCATATACTATGATAAACTCCACAAACCATTTGTATTGCTTTAATGAGTCAGTACACATTTTGCTTTATCCAGACAGTTACTTTTTCAGTGATCTTCATTTTTCACTAATTTTCTTACATTTGGGACTTTTTTTCTTTTTTGAAGAATTGTTTAGAATGTCTTTTAATGCAAGTCTGCTGGTAAAAGTTTTTCTTTGCTATTATCGATTTTTTTTTTTACTGTACTAGAGATAGAACAGAAGGCCTGATGCATCACTAGGCAAAATGCCATAGCACTGAGCTGTATTCCAGCCCTTTTCAGTTTTATTTTAAGGTAGGGTCTCACTAGTTGCCCGAGCTAGTGAGTTGCAAACTTACAGTCCTCCTACCTCAGCTTCCCAAATAGCTGGGATTACAGGCCTGTGTCACCAGGGTTCTTCTGTAATGCAACTGACTACATGTGTCACATGTGGGAAGCAGAGTTCAGAACCGAGTCCAGAACTGAGTCAAATGCTGTCGTTCTGTCTACTCACGTTGTCATAATAAACATCTTCTGTCTCTAATCCAGGAATCATATGTCTTTGCAGAGGCCATGAGACTTGTAAGCTAATTTGTTATCTTTTAGGAAGTATAAAATCCCAAATGTTTTAGTTTGTAGCAGGTTTGTTTTGTTTTTGTTTTTGTTTTTGTTTTTGTTTTTGGTACCAGAACTTGAACTGACAACCTTCTCTTGCCAGGCAGGCACTGTGCCACTGAGCTATATCCCTGAAAGTTTGTAGCACTTTTAGTGACAAATATGGGATGCTGACAGAGACATGGCTCTCTGGAAGAGAGCCCTAACAAGCCCTTACAAGCCCTAAAAGACTTGGGGGAAGTTAGTAGGAATCAGTATCAAATATGTTGATATATATACAGTCAACTGAACAATAAATGTTTTCCCACTTTATTGTATCAATGAGTATGCACTGGGGAGAGGGTTGTTGGCCAAATCTAAGAAGAATGTTTAAAGAAAGTGGTCCAAAGATGACCAGTTGTAGCAACTCCCTTGCTTCTACCTATTTATCAATTTAGTGGTTAGCCTCAGTTCATCCCATTGTAACAACTAGTAATTAAAATTCATTCTAGCCTGGCCAGTGCTGTCACCCTAACACTCTGGGAAACTGAGGCACAAGAATTGCAAGTTCAAGCCCAGCCAGGAAAACTTGGTGCTTAGGGAGACCCTGCCTCAAAAAATAAGGCCTGGGAATGTAGCTCAGCGCAGCGGTCCTGGGTTCAGTCCCTAGTACCACCAAAAAAAAAAAAAATCATTCTGGGTAGACCAAAATTCCCACCCTCTATTTTAGACAGGTTACAGAGACTCCTAAAAGGAGGAAAAGGAGGAAATTTGTGATCTTTAGAGATAGAAACTAGGTAAATTATTATAACTTTGGCTAGTTTGCTTGGGAGGTGGAGAGCAGGGTAATTGATGCTTGGGAAAAATAGAAGCCGCTGTCTTAATCTCAGCCGCTCCCATAGTCTGCCACCTTTAGACTCATTTCAAGATGACACTGAAAGGTCACAGAGTTCTTTTGCAGAGGATCTAAGGTGCAGTAAAGAAACTTGGGCACCCTAGGAGGGAAGGAGACTTTTCTTAAACAAAATTCCTGTTGGGAGTTTATAAAAATGGATAGATAAGTTCCAATCGAATGAAAGAGTTTTGATTTTCCTTTCACTTTTTCATAAATACCTTGTAGCCCAAATAGCTAGACAAACTTAAGTAAGACCTACCAACTTCTTTTCCTTTTTCTAGGCTATTTTCATACTTTGTACCTTATGTATGTCGATAAATTGCTTTGTATTGGCTCTAACTTAGTCACACTTTCCTAATCACAGTAAATGTCTATCTTTTGAGATTTCCTGTGGCAGTCATTGTAAGTCCCTTCTGTAAATGATTGTGATCCATTACTTGTTGATTCTTCTCAATTATCCTCTCAGAAAGTAACTTTCAATTGTTGGAGCACTCCCATGTTGTCATATTTGTAGGTAAATATACTGATTTGTTTCACATAAAACTTTCTTATAGTATAGAAATGCATTCCATTTGGATTGTGTTTATTTTTCCAGATGAAGAACCAGCATCAGAAGAAGAAATTACAGAAAAAATTGAATCATTGACTGAAGAATTTGGCAACTCCAGAGAGGATGTTCTCCAGGATTCTGAAGGCAGAGACTTCTATAAATTTGGGGATAAATTAAATGAAAAGGATCAGAATCTCTTTAAAAAAAGACAGAATATCTGTGATGAATGTGGGCAAAGCTTTGCTTATAGTACAGGCCTTATTCGGCACCAACGAACCCACTGGGAGAAACCATATGAATGTGATAAATGTGGAAAGGCCTTTAGGATGAGCTCAGCCCTGGTTCTGCATCAGAGAATTCATACTGGGGAAAAACCCTATCCTTGCAATTGGTGTATTAAGAGTTTCAGTCGGAGCTCAGACCTTATTAAACATCAAAGAGTTCACACTGGTGAAAAACCATATAAATGTAATGAATGTGGGAAAGCCTTCAGTCAGAGCTCAGATCTTATTATACACCAGAGGATCCATACAGGAGAAAAACCCTATCAATGTAGTCATTGTAGTAAAAGTTTTAGCCAGCGCTCAGACCTGGTTAAGCATCAGAGAATCCACACTGGAGAGAAGCCTTATACATGTAACCAATGTAACAAACATTTTAGTCAGAGTTCTGATGTTATAAAACATCAAAGAATTCACACGGGGGAGAAACCATATAAGTGTGATGTGTGTGGGAAAGCCTTTAGTCAGAGCTCAGATCTTATTCTACATCAGAGAATCCACACTGGGGAGAAGCCATACCCATGTAATCAGTGTAGCAAAAGTTTTAGTCAAAACTCAGACCTTATTAAACATCGAAGGATCCACACTGGAGAAAAGCCCTATAAATGTAATGAATGTGGAAAAGCTTTTAATCAGAGCTCTGTCCTTATTCTCCATCAAAGAATTCACACTGGAGAGAAACCCTATCCATGTAACCAATGTAGCAAAACTTTTAGTAGGCTTTCCGACCTTATTAATCACCAACGGATTCATACTGGAGAGAAACCTTACCCTTGCAATCAGTGTGATAAAATGTTTAGTCGAAGGTCTGATCTTGTGAAACATCATAGAATTCACACAGGTGAAAAACCCTACGAGTGTGAGGAGTGTGGGAAAACCTTTAGTCAGAGCTCCAACCTTATTCTACATCAGAGAATCCACACTGGAGAAAAGCCTTACCCATGTACTGATTGTACCAAAAGTTTTAGTCGGCGTTCAGACCTTGTAAAACATCGAAGGATACACACTGGAGAGAAACCATATGTGTGTAATCTGTGCAATAAAAGTTTCAGTCAAAGTTCAGACCTCACTAAACACCAGAGAGTACACTCTGGGGAAAAGCCTTATCATTGTGATAGGTGTGAGAAAGCCTTCAGTCAGAGTTCTGACCTTATTCTTCATCAGAGAATTCACACTGGAGAAAAACCGTATCCATGCACACAGTGCAACAGAAGTTTCAGTCAGAACTCAGACCTTACAAAACACCAGAGAATTCACACTGGGGAAAAGCCATATAAATGTAATGAGTGTGGGAAGGCTTTTAGTCAATGCTCAGCTCTAATCTTGCATCAGAGAATCCACACTGGGGAGAAACCATATTCATGTGATCAGTGTGGCAAAAACTTTAGTCGGCGCTCTGATCTCACTAATCATCAAAGAATACATGCTGGTGAAAAGCCATATAAATGTAAAAAAACATTCAGCGCAGACACAGGTTTTACTGAACACCAGAGAATCCACACTAGGGAGAAGTGCTACCAGTGTGTTCAGTGCAACATAAGTTTTAGTCAACTCTCTGATATTATTAATCACGAGAAAATCCATTCTACGGAAGACAGCTTGAATGGAATGAACATGGAAAAAACTTCAGCATATACACCAACTTTATTCAGTACTAGAGATACCACGCCAGAACAACAGTCCTATGAATGCTGTTGATGGACATGAAAGGTTTTAATCAATCAACCGTTGTGGTACATTATTTTAAGAAGCCACTGTGGAGAAAACTAGTTCAATTCTTAGTGAAAATTTAGCTCAGATCTCAGGCATTACTAAAATTGAAATTTCTAAGGAGTAGTTCTAGGAGCTGTGGTACAACCTTCTATGTGAATAAAATTTTTACAGAATGTCAATAATCAACAAAAATAAATTCCTATGTAATACAACTTAAGGAAAGCTCTCGTGTTTTATTCAGATGTAACCTACAAAAGAGTTATACTTGGGGACTGAGGAAAAAAAAGAGTTATACCTTTGTTTAAAAAAGTTTAGTAATATTAATGCAAAATTTATGTATTTTAAAAACAAGTGCAGAGAGATATTCAGTCAGAACTTGGAAATGAATTAGTTTTAGAATCTTAAAGCTTTAATGAGTCCAAATATCTGTATATCAGAAGTTATTTTAGAGAATGCAGGCAAAACTTAAATCTCCATATCTTAACCAGTATTTACACTGATTGAACATTTATCTCCTGACAACCGGAGTCCTATCTTCTGATGAATCTAGACATCTGTCTATAAGTTTCTTATGTGTAAACATGCTATTCCATGCTAGTATTAAACTTACTAGGAAACTCTGTTGCCCCCTTTCTCAGTTTTTTTCATTGGTCTAGTTTCGGTTATCCTAGTGAGAGTGATTTTGTACAAGGTCGTGTACAGAGTAAATGCTGATTTATTTCCTTCTTAATAATGCATTCCATAAACTTTATTGCTTTTTTTTTTTAACTTTAACTTTCTATCGGTACCGGGGACCGAACTCACGACTGCCTGCTTGCAAGGCAGGTGCTTATGCCGCTGAGCTAAATCCCCAGCCCCAAACTTTATTGCTTTGAAATTACTTTTTTTTTACTACCATTTAATTACATCTTTTAAATATGTGAAACAATTTAAAAAAGAAATTACCCAATATCAAGTGTGTAGTTTTTTCTACTTTACTGCATACAATAATCTTTGAACAAAAATGGTGATTTTGAAGTAATGATTTCTAGTAAATATATCAGTATCTCCTTGTTGATAGGAGGTATGTGCCAAGACCCACAATAGATTCCTAAAACCTTCCACATTATTAAACTGGATAAATTGTCGTAACTCATCACTTAACACACAGCAAGACTATAACTTGCAGTCTGAGTTTACACATAGAAGGTTCTTTCTTATTGTTTACACATAGGTTTACACATAGAAGGTTCATTCTTAACCGTAGATCTTCACAATCTCAGTATGTGACTTTTTTTCTCCTTAAAAACTTTTACTTTTTACTTCAAGGAACCACTCTATGGCTTCTCCTTGGCATATCCAAATCACCAGCAAATCGCTTGCTCATTGGTCCATTTTTGAGTAAATAAATAGTTACTCAAACACAAGAAATGCCTTGCAGAGATGGTAAGACATGGCCAAGGCAGCTACTAAGTAACAATGGACAGGTTGTTTATAAAACATGCATTCTTTTATGGTTTAAATCTAGATTGTGGAAGACAATAAGGTCTGTCTTCTATCAAACAGGATTGTCCCTGTCTCAGGCTCTGTCTTGCTGAACACACCAGTGCCGGCTTAGTTCAAACTCAGGAAACACAGCTATAAACCAAGTAGAGCTTACCAGGAGCCAGGACTTTCTGTTCACCACATTCCCCCTTGACTCTGCACCCCTCCTCTCTTAATAACTTTTCTGATTCCTCCCACACCACCTGTATAAATAAAGATTGGATATGGAGAAACAAATGCTTAGGCAGCATGTATAAAATGTCCTATGCATGCTTGTAACAAAAGTGACTGTTAGGAGGAGCAAGGGGCTCCCTTTCCTCTGGGATGGTCTTCCGATCCACAAAGCCTCATGTACTTGGTAGTTGTCTTCCAGGGTAGTACAGCTATTAGTCTTGCTGGACATTGTTGCTATTGTTTCTTGAAGTCTAGGATCCTATGGATCAGCACAGGAGGACTACTTGACCACCAGAAAAAGATTCTTTCTTTTCCTCTTGCAGCAGAAAGTGGCAGGAGGCAGAGGTGACATCCTTAGGCAATATGACAGGGTACAATGAAAGCTGGTCTTCTCACTATGGTAACTACTATTAAGTCGGGTTATCTTGTGGTGAAGCATTAGGTTGCTGAAATTGTTATGCCTTGTCCTGTATTGTTATGTTGTTATGTCCTCTTTTATCTCAATCTCCCCTTTTTAAAAAGAAATTATTTATTTATTTTATTATTATATTATTTTTAATTAAGGGAAAAATTAGCAGGATATATTATAGTAACTTTTTTGATTTCCTATTAACTGGATTTGAAGCCCTGTATTGCTCCCACCATCTTGTTTTGACTGTTTTACTCTGTTCTGTTCTGTTTGATAGTATCAAGTTTGAGGATATAGGCAACTACTTTGAAGGCAGTAAGATTCACTATGACATCCATTCTGGTTTGACTATTACCTTCTTTTGAAGTCCTGTAATGTCTCCAATATTTAGGTTTTATTGGTCTTGTTCTGTACTGTTTTGTTCAATTTTATTATACCTAATGATATAGGCAATTCTTTTTAAGGTAGCAAGAGGCATTATGGTAACCATTGTTGATTACCTTGTATTCTGTTTTTACATCATGTACTATGTCTATCCTTTGTTTTGACTGACTGCCTTCTTTTGTCATATTTGGTTTTATTCTCTTCCGAAAAAAGTAACAAGAACTATGGGAGTAATAAAACCCAAAATGTGTAAATGTTGTTGTAAAAACGAGAGGGAAAAAAAGTACTCTAAAGGATACAACTGCAAGTGTGTTTAGGTGTGTTAAGATGGATGACCATATTACTAAGTTTTTGTTGGGTCATTGAACGCAACTGTTTGCAGTCTCACTGCTTGAATGTCTACTTTGTATGCTTTAATCCTGTAACTTGAACAACTATTTCTAAGATGACAACATGTAATCCATTAACTAGTGATTTCTTACTGTTTTTTTTTTTGAAATTCTGTATTACTTGTACCCGTTTACAGTTTTGTTTTTTTTTCTCCTTTAAATAAAATTTAAAAAAAGAAAAAAAAAGAAAAAAAAAGAAAGCTGGTCTTCTGACACCATCCAGAATAATTTGCAAATCTGGATGCCCCGGACAGATGTCTGGTGGTACTATGGGGAGCCTTTACTGGGCTCCCTTCTGCACAGATGAAATGGCACGTGTACTTTGGTGCAATTGTCCATCCCTTTCATCTTGGCTTTTGGACCAGAAAGCCATTCTGGTGCTCCCTTGCTATTTTTAAGAAATCTTTCTTTTCAAAATCACTAACCACAAACCTGTCTTCTGAGTCTGAGATTCTGCCTTCATTGGTTCACTGTGCTGCAGATACTTCAGTGGAAATTTTAGTGTCCTGGATATCTGCTTGAATCTGTTTATGGATTTCACTTTTCCATTTCTTTCCTATGTTGGACATTCATGATTTCCATCATTTTCCTTAGCTGCTCTGTTCCTTTGCTCCTCCATTTTTAAAATCTGTATTTGCTCTAGAGGCACTAAGCATGTTTTTTTTTTTTTGTCACCATCCCTGTAGTTACCTGAAAAATTATTTCTGATTTTATTTTTTTCTAGAGCCTTGTTCATTTGCTTTGTTACCACTTCAGGGAGGCCAGGTGGGTAGCTTTCAGAATATCGCACCTCATTGCCCCCTGGTTTCTTGTGAGTGTGTTTGCCAGACAGGCACATTGCCACTGAGCTTTATCCCCAACCTCTTGCATCTTGCTTAAATATCCTTTTTTTTTTTAGTTTGATTCCTGAGTTGATGCTTGTAAATTTCCTATAGTGAGTTGCTTTTTTTGCTGTTTTTTTTTTTTTTTAGACAGGGTCTCACTATGCAGTTCAGGTTGGCCTTGAGTTCACTTTGTAGCTCAGGCTGTTCTCCAACTAGCCACGATCTACCTGCCTCAGTCTCCCAAGTGCTGGGATTACAGGTGTGTGCCACCACTCCAGGCTTGAAGTGGTACAATCATCAATAACAATAGAATCAAACACAGCTTAAAAAATGACAAACTGAGGTAACCATTAATTTACTACCTTTAACCATATGAATTAAGATTATATAACAAAACCTAAAACAAACCAGAAAATTGTATGTAGTAAATAAACCTGAAATATGCCAATTTTATTCTCAGGGGAGAACATTTCAAAGAGGTTAGAGGAAAAATAGAGAAATTGAAGTAAAAGGAAGAGATTAGAAGCAAGGCTGGAGGACAAAGGAAATCATGCAGAGTTAGGGAAATGTGCAGAAGAGAGGAGTGAAAGAGAAGAAATAAAAGGAAGAACAGAACAACAACCACAAAAAAAAACCCCTAGAAACCACATTCACATTCATGTAAAAACAAGAAGAGGGAAGAGGAATGTGGGGGGTGGGGGGAGTCCTCTTCAAGGTTTGTTTCTGCTGTCACTAGTAGACAACATGTGGAGACAGAGTCCAAGCCATGTTGATTTATCCAAGCAAGCCAGCAGTAGCTTCATAGTGGGGTAGTGGATAATCTCAGTGAGCCTGCACTTTTATTTCATCTGAAGTTCAGGCTGGTTTCCAGCCATGAGACTGGAACCAGACCCTTTCAGCCTGCAGCTGTAGTGCACATTCTATGGGCTTCAGCTCAGCTAGGAGCTGCTAGATGGAGCCAGCAGTTGTTCTGAGTTCCAAGATCAGTAGGTCCTTCCCAAAATGGCTCTTGGCCAACTACCCTTTCCTGCAGGACGGCCACAATCTGCTTCACTCACCAACCAATGGAGTTCATGGCATCCACTCCTCTATTGCACTGCTGTATCTTTCCTTGGAGGCCTCCAGGGTTACCAGCAGTCACCTTGTGTTGGCAGTTTTGAACTGTTCCTCCTATGCAGTGGGCCCCAACTCCGGGAGAAGGTGCCACCTGCTACCTCCTTCTTGTCCATTGAAGTTTCCCTCTTTGCTCTCCCCATGTGCTTAAATTCTCACTTCAAATCCTTCTTGAGGCCAGGGGACCCACTTCCCACCTTCTTTTCTTCCTTGTGTTGCTATATTCCAGTGCCTGGACAGCAAATCTCAGAGAGGGTCTTTCTCTGTTGCTTACTACTGCAACTTATTCCCAGAAATTTCTAAAATGTATTTCTTACAATCAGTCTGCATCTAAAAACATTTGTATTCTAAAATCTTCTCTCAGCTTACTTGTACTTCAGGGAAGAATACATTACCAGAAGATTG